CTGTACCCAGATCGTAATCTGGCGCTCGGTGAGGCAGAGCGCGTTGGCGATCTCGATGCGGCGGCGCCGGGTCAGGTAGCGGTTGAAGTGGAACTCCTTCTCCAGCTCCAGCGTCTGGTAGCGCGTGTACGTCTGACGGCCCCGCTTCCTGTCGGGTCCTAAGAGCAGACATGCAGACACAGGGACAAAAAGGGACAGGGACAGGACAGTGTATTAGCCAGGCCGCTGTCCCAGAGCCCGCACCTTCCTCCGGCCCAGACCCAGGCGCAAGTCCCCCTGACCCTGAGGACTCGAAATAAAGAGCCAGAGAAGGAGGGGGGAGTGTTAGCGGAAGACCCCAACTGCAGTGCCAGACGGGCAGGCAGCTTTGTAAGGAGCGAAGGCGCAGGATCCCAACTTTACAACCCCCCTTTCCAGCTGGGTACGTTTCCACAATGTCCCGCTTCCCCTTGACAAAGGGAAATTGTAAATATAGAGTGCGGACTAGTAGGCGATTCCGCACTTTTGCCATTCAAAGGCGGGGTCAGCAGGCAGCTACCCCTCCTTGCTAGGCAAGTGGACAACCCTCCCCTGCAGCCTGAGCTCCCATCCCTGAGAACTTCCTGGGGCATTCCCTCCCTCTGTCCCGTTCCCTCCAGGCCCCAGTCTAGAGATGGCCCCTGGCACTGGGGCTGGTGAGGGCCCCTGGAGGGCTTGGCTCTCCCAGCTTTTGAGAAAGAAAAGCCAGGCAGAAGGGAAAAGAAGGAAAAGGGGGGAAAGAGAAGAAAGGGAGGGAGGAAGAGAGAGAGAGAGAAAGCGAACAAACTTAATGTTAAAATTCCAAGGCAAATGGAGTTAAATAAATTTACGAGGATCGAACCCATTAATTGGGCCATAAAAAGTTTTATGAGCCTCATTTACATACAAAAAAGTGGCCGGGCACGGTTAAGCATGGGTGCGGACTGCCGACCTGGTCAGCCCCCTGCCCCGCCTGGGCCCCCTGGACTGGAAACCACCCTGCCTCCACTTCCGCCTCTCCCACTGCTTCTGAAGCCAACAGCAGACTGCATGGGAAAAGATAATTTCATACCAAACAAGATGTTTTCCTCCTAAAACGATTTGGCTTGTGAAGTTATTGTTTTTGAAAATATCTGCTTCATAAGAAAAGCCTTTACAAGCGAAATAATAGAATAAGCATTCTTAATTTGGGACACTCAAGTCGCGTTTTTGTGGGCGTGTATATGTGTGTCAGGGGGGTGGATGGTGTGGAACCCTATGGGTAGTGTAGACGCTGAATTCACACACTACTCTCTGTGAGGATGCTACTGTGGTCAGCTATGTCAGGACTCAACACTTTTTTTTTTTTTTTGAAAGTTAAAAGTGGCCAGCTCTCTCAAATCTTTGCAAGTTTTCCCAAATTATATGATTCTGAGAAAAACAAAGCTCCCTTGGGGGGAAAAGTGAATTTTAAAGCAAAACACTATAAGCTTAAAAATCTGCATTAGATTCCATCCTGCTCCAAGGGCTAAAGGAATCCCCTGTGGAGTCTTTGGAAACCAGGGCTGAAGAGATGCACCTATGGGCGATCTGGGGTTTCTGTCAATGGAGGCTTGCCTAGGGCTGTTGGTTCTGGTGCTAAAGGTGCCCTTGGGTGGTTGGGGGGGCTGTCCTCCCCAAGCCAGGTGTGTGAGGCTTAAGCAGGGGCTCAGAAGAAAGCAGAAGTTGGCTAAGAGTGAATAGTTGAGTGGAAGGGGGAGGAGGGAAAGGAGGAGAGAGAGGGGTAAAAATCCTGAAGGTGGAAATGTGGCCCTCCAAGGCTTTGGGGAGACACTGGAAGAGGCCGTATGGGGGCCTCTCTGTATGGGATTCTGAAGGGCAGAAAGGAGAGGGGATTGGAAGGTGAAGAGAAGTTACCAGTGATGGGGGTGCAGAGGCCCTCTCAGCTTGGGAACCTGAGCAGGGTGTTACCAGGATGCAGCATGGGGAGGTTCTCCTCCCAGCCAGCTTCCCTCTCTCTTCAGGTTGCCCCTGTCACAGTTCTCACATAGCGGGCTACAGTGAACCCCCCACTCTCCCCTAAGGTGTCACTTTACATGGTCACCAGAGTCTAGCCTTTCCTCTGCCATGACCTAACTGCCCCTCTGGGAATGGGGTTTTATCTTTTTTTTTTTTTTTTGATCTCTCTTAAGCCACCCAAGAAACTTTGTTCTCTCTTTCTTCCTTTCTTTCTCTCTATTCCTCTTTGTACTTTCTCTTGCTTTCTTCTTCCTTCCTTCTTTCCCTGCCTCCTCTCCCCTCTCCCTCCACTGTCTTGGGTGGGGGTGGGGGGATGGCAGGGAAATGCCTTACCCGCGCAGGAGTTCATCCGCTGCATCCAGGGGTAAACGGGGCTCGTGTACTTCCGGTCCGTGCCTTCGTCATGGAGGGCTTTGCCCTGCACGCTGCTGCTGTCGGGTTTGTACTGCTGCTCGGGAGAAAAGTGCAGGTAGTCCCCGGGGCCCCTCTGCTTGCCACTGCCTGAGGGCGAGGCGCCACTGAGGTCCTTATCAGAATAGAAACACGAGGCCCCGTACTCGTAGGACGCCCGGTTGCAGGCCAGGACCGAGTTGGACTGTTGGTAGAAACAAGGTGAGGTGTACGTCTTGTCCGGGAGGCTCGACGCCCCGTACGAGGCCGGGAAGGGCCTCAGCGCGTCATAGCCGGCCGGGTAGAGGGGCAGCTGGCCCAAGAAAGAGTCCTGGCCGCTGGGCAGGCTCCCGGGGAAAGTGGGATTCACAAAATAGGAACTCATTTGCGCGCCCCTCTGCAGGACTGTGATTTGTTGTGTATTAGTACATCTGGCTATAACTATTAGTAGTCATCGAACTGGTTTGTTTCTGGATGGCCGAACGCCAAAAGCGACAGCAGCAAATCGCACCAGCTGACGCGGCGGCGGCCAATGGGAGTGA